CACTCTAGATTACTTTATCCAGCAAAGCTATCATTTAGAATGAAAAGGCAGATAAAGTGCTTCTCAGATAAGGTCATGTTAAAGGAGTTCATCATCATCAAGTCATTATTATATGAAATGATAAGGGACTTATTTAAGAAAAAGAAGATCAAAACTATGAACAATAAAATGGTAAAAAATACATATCTATCAATAATGAATTTTAAAAACTAAGCAACAAGAAGAACAGAGACAAAATCACGGATAAGGAGAACATTTCGGTGGTTGCCATATGGGAGGCGGATGTGGGAGAATGTGTGAAGAAGTAAGGGATTAAGAAGTACAAGTAGGTAGTTACAGAACAGCCATGGGGATGTAAAGTACAGTATAGGAAGTGGAGTAGCCAAAGAACTTACATGCATGACACATGGACATGAACAATGGTGGGAGGATTGCCTGAGGGAGTGTGAGGTGCTAGGTAGAGAGAGGCAAAGGGGGAAAAACTGGGACAACTGTAATAGCATAATCAATATAATTTTTTAAAAAGAAAAATAAATAGAAAAATCAAAATACATGTTTTTGTCAGATAAAGCCCTTGCCATTTCAAAAACTGTAGTTATTTCCACTCTAAAATGTACTGACTAAATCAGCCTTTTAAAAATGTTGTTTTGTTTTCGAAAAGAAAAGAACAAAGAGGGTAAAAACAATGTGTTGAGAAGCTTATGTTCTAAAGCCAGTCTACCTAACAGAGCCTCAGGTCCTCATCCTTACAAATTCCCACCTGACAGCCCTCATTCTACCATTTATGACTCCCTTTGGGTGCCGGCCCACCTGTCTACCTCTGCTTTCTTTTTTAATTATTGTTTTTCACTCTTTAGAATACTTTCTGTGGTGGTTTTCTTTTTATATATTCCCCGGGGTGAATTTTCCCAGTGGGTTTTCCTTACTACATTTGTCTTTGCCATGGTTTTGGATGATGTCCAAAACCATGTCCAGCAAAAGCAAATGAATTTTCTCTTATTACATTTCTCCTTAAGTAGCACCTCTTACTTTGAAATAGAGAGACAAAGCTTCTGTTAATGCAAGAAACATTTATTACTGGCCTCTTCACTTCCTCATCCATTCCAATTTCAACCATTACAAAATGCACATTACAAGAGCTGGCCAGATTTGGAACTCAATGTGTGTGCATGAGTTGAGTGAGTGTCTTTGTCTATGCATTTTATTTTATACCACTAGTTGTCTAGTGACTCAATGGCAGAATTTATCCACCACTAACTAGTTTATATGACCTTAAAGAAGTCATTCTGGATCCATGCCTCATATTTCTTACCAATAAAATGTTATATCTCCCAAGACTTATTTTACAGACATCTAAGTGAAAAAAAAAATGAAAAAGGATATATATATATTAGAAAAAGAACAAGCTAGTGTCAACTTACAGATGGGCTCTATTCCAAAAGTTCATTGACAAGTCAATTACTGAGAACTTGGAACACATTTTTCCCAAAGAAACAATATAACAAAGGATGATTGGGTTTATAAACACCCCCACGGGAGCCTGAGTATCCCATATGCAGGTGAACCGCTGAGCTAATGTTGTCCTAGAATACAATCAGTGCACTTGCGGTATTTACGGGAAAGCAATGCTGCTCTATCACAGGGACAAGGGTCACCTCCAGTATATACACATCTGTAGTAGAAGTGTTTCTGTACCTCCTACACATTTGCCTGTCCAAGAAAATGTATGCAGGGCAGGAGAAGGGGGTCTGTATGCCTAAGGGAAGGGGTTTCTTAGAAGTGGAGAAGAGCAAGGGACTCAGGAGCCTTGAGGGGAAGGAGAGAGAATTGGAATAAAGGGAATCAGGAAGGATGAGCTGTGGGGAGAAGGTCTTTGAACCACTTCCCCAGGGGATCTGATAAAGACTGAGGACCGCAGGTGCTGGTGCATGAAGCTTCCAGTGTACAAAACACTCTAGATTAGATTAGAGCCAAGTTTATAAACAAGCAGGCCAGACTTTGTCTATTTATTTTTTCTAATTTAAAAAATACTTTATGTGCTTAGTGTATACCTGAATCAACACAAATGTAATAGTGAAATGCAGTTATCAAGATGAATAACTCCTTCTGGCACTGGAGGAAAAGTATCTGCTTAGGATTGTCCAGGGTATAACATAAACTGCACTGAAACCTCATAAAATCTTTTCAGAATAAATGAATGAATAGGGGAAACAACTATAGAGTCAGATAATGAAGCCAGATGTCAGAAAAAGACATCAATATTCATTTTAACTGAAACATAGTTGTTACATTGTAAATGAAGTTAAATGTGTATTAGTAGGAGAAATACCATGAAGCTTTTTTAAAAATAGTGACTCTAGGTGTTGATATATATTTAAGATATATTATTAAGTGATAAAGGCAAAGAGCCCAACAGTATCTATTTTTTAAAATGGTACCACAGTGCTACATAAACATATATACTTAATATATAACAGATTTCTAAAAGGGTATCAGCTGTGGTTACCTCTGAGAAATGGGAATATGAACTGATGTAAAAGGCAGAAAGACAAACTTTACTCTTTTATCCTTCTATCCAGTTTAAATTTTTATCACAAGCAAAAATGACTTTTCCTTTTTGTATTGTAGTAAAATATACATAGCATAAAACTTATGTTAACATACATACAGTTCAGCGGCATTAAGTATATTCACGTTGTTATGCAACCAGCACCATCCTCCATCTCCAGGACTTTCTCCTCCTCCCGGACTGAAACTCTATCCCCATTAAACAATGGTACCTCATGCTCCCTTCCCCCAGAAGAACTGAGAACTTAAAACACTACCATAGAGAAGCCCCTTCCACACAAAATGTCCACACTGAATCAACTGACAACAGTGCTCCCTTTAGAAGTGATAAGCATACTTAATCATTTATCATAGATTTAATTTGATAAATTTGTGCTGTGAAATTCTGACTAACAAGCAGGTTTAGTAAGTTCTATTGAAAAAATAATTAGATTCTGTTTCTGAAACAGGAAATTTCATAACACTGTATCAGATTGATTATTCATCTGAATATTACTAATGTATGCAATTTATTAATCATCCTTAATGGGAAGGGGGTTTCCACCTCCTAATTGCCCTGACTCTCAATTGTTACTACATTCATGCACTTAAGACTTCGAGAAACACCATAAAGCTGAAGTGTCAAATATGCTAATATATACTAAATGTTTCGCTCACCCTTCCCAGATCCATTTCCTCTTTGCCCTTCCTAGTCACAACAATAAATCCATAGGGAGGGGAAATCTATTTTATTTATGCAAATTTGTGTCTGGTTGCTCTGAAAAGGGGACCAGCATATGACACAGTCTACATGTGTTCACATGCCAGCTGAGAGGGGCAAACCAGCCAGAGGCGGAAGTGGGCAAGTCAGGTGGGTGTGATGAGCATAGGAGGTGCGACAGGGGAAGGGCTGGAGTGACCTAGGTGGCCAGAGCACTGCCAGAGACATTGGGGTCACAGATCTGGGAGCAGTTGTGCTCTGGAGCAGAAAGAGCCAAGATCTAGCTGAGAGTCAAGAGAGTATCCAGAGCACCGTGCAGTAGAGGTGGCCTGGGCAGTCGGTTGTTGGGTTCCTTCTGATCTATGACACACTACTGAACCAGTCTCTTTACTAAGGCAAGAATATGGTGCAAGTTTTGTCGGGATGTTATGGTCTTCATTTGTCTGCTAGATATGGAGTAAAAGGAAACCAGATATAGAATTTCTCAATTTATAAGGGCAAAACTATCTGTCTAAGAATTTTAACCTTCTTTGTTATTCCCCAATGGCACAGTTAGCAAAAAAGGATGCAAAGCCAATAAGATGAGTCATTTGTGGAAGCAAGTAGTGAGCAGTAAATGTGAGGCTGCAGAAGTTCGACACATCCAAAACAAGCAAGGTAACTGGGGTGTGGCCTCAGGGAATGTCCAGAATGACAGTACAGTTAAGAAAGTTGACACCTAGTTGCTTGTATTGAGAAAGCCTCCAAAAAGATTACTACAGCGGAAGGAAAATGACTTGCAAAGAGTCTGTGAAAGTAATAATGAAAATATGAATAACAATAGCTAATCATTTCTTGAGCGTAGTACTGTGAACCAGGCATTACTCTAAGTGTTCAGCATGTACTAACTCCTGGAGAGGCCGGTACTGTTATGATTCTTTCCATTGAGAGATGAGGAAGCTAAGGTACACATCAGGGAGCGGGAGGGGATATTCTTGTATTCGAGCACTGTAGAGGGGAGGGGAGAAAAACACAGAATACGGAGCATGTATTTTCTTCTCATTCAAGAGCTACCACCTGGTGCTGAACAGGAATGGTCCATGGCAGGCATCACAGCGACATGACATGTCCAGGAGGCCATCCACCTTCCTTTGCTCTGATTCCATTTTTTCCCAAAAATTATCTGAATAGAGACTCTGCCTCCCTGGGCCCCTGATTAGTGAGCAGAGTTCCCTGGGCACCACAAAGGAATATCCACCAACACACACACAGGGAGGTTAACATGCCAGCTTATATATCAGTCTCTTGTGGGTTTCATTAACCTAAATTAGCCCTAGAAAGCCTTCAGAGATTAAAGACTTTCTGAACTTCCAAGCTGAAGAACTGGGCCAAGGTGGCCTCATCTCAGAAGGACTTATCTAGGATGTCATTGTCTGGCCTATCTTCAGTAGTAAAACATTAAGGTTAATTTGCCAAATTTAGTATCGGTTCTGCTCAGTTCTTTTCTTGCACATGGTTGTTTTCCACCCCAGACCTGCCCTTTGCCTAGTCTTTATAGTAACAAGTAGGTTTCTCCATAGATGTCTGCCTATTCACTCCTAGTGAATAAGGAACCCCTGGTCCCAGGATGAGAAAAAAATCTGAGGGGGCTGGGTTTAAGGTTTTGCTTGCTTGTCTGTCTGTCTGTCTGTCTGTTTGTTTGTTTTGCCCCAGGAGTTTATTGGGTAGACTAGGAGACAAGGAGGCCCTGCATCTAAAAGAAGGTGTTGGGCCAATTGGTGGTGAAGCATGGCTTGTGCTGGCAATGAAGGAGAACGCAGTGGAACAGTGGGAACTTGATCTTGGAGTCCGGGAAGTGCTTGACTGATGGCTGGCGGCACTTGCTGGCTGCAATCTCCTCCACCATCATGATCTGGATGGAGTTAGCACAGGCACAGTGCCGGGCCCCCATGTCTTGGTAGCCCTGGGTGATGGTGCCTGAGTTGGTCAGGTCCCGATACTCTAGGTACATATTGCAGGTCCTACTGCGGGGGTAGTGCAGCCAGATACCAAAGTTGTTCACCCGAAGGGGAGATTTTTCAAACACATTCCCACAGTAGACAATTTCCCCTGAAGATTTTTTCATCTTCTTCAGCTGAGACACAAAGTACCAGAAGCGGGACTTGGCAATGACATGGTTAGGTGCAAAGATGAGCGTGCGGCAGAGGGGTGGTGTGCAGCACTTAGGGGTGGGCAGGCAGCACCCCACCACCTCGTACTCTCGCAGTGTGCCCGAGGCCTTCATCATGTTGTCTCCGTCTTTGCCACCACCCACAAAAGACTAGGTTCAAGATTTAGATGAACAAGCACAAAAAAGGAAGATGTTGGTAATTTAAAGAGCAATAAATGAAGAATAGTATCCTGCAAATTTTTGAGTATCTGGAACTTAGGATCATCACCAGGTTTCAAGAGCTGGTTTTATTGTAACTGAAAATAAATTCAACAAATATGCATAGAGCATACCTCCATGTCTCAAACCACATGCTGGGGTCTATAGACATAGGGGCAAGCTAGACCTCAAAATCTCACATTCTACAGTTTATTTCTGTTTCTTTCTACCATGAGACTAGGAAGCTAGTGCCATACAATCCACAGATTCTTCCTGAGTTAACTTGAATTTTGGTAGTTTCAGTGCAGTGACATAACCAAGAAAGTCTGCAGACACTATCTGATTCTCTGATGCATTATTTCTATACATGTTTCCACAAAGTTATAATAGAACAAGGTTTAGTTAAGGGAATAAAAGTCAAAGAATGAAAAAAAGAGTTTAATGTTAAGAACTTCCAAAGATCCCAGAGAACAAATTTCTACCACATAACTGTCTCCTGCCTTAGTCTTTTGCATATGAAAACTACACATTTACAGTTACCCACGAATGAAATGTCTAAAGCATTCGGGTAAGTGCTGTGAATGTTTTTCATCATCCTTCTCCTTTTCTCCTATTTCTATTGAACCATATGAACCTGAACATTTTTTCAGAGGCTACTAAATAGTGTAATCCATTAGTTTTCAGCATAGTTTTATTGAATATCTATTAGTATCCAGGTACTACTTTTACCGCTATTAATAATAATATTTCCTATGATGTTAAGGGTATGCACTTTGGAGTCAGAAGGTCTCCATGTGCATCCCATTTTCACTGATTAGTAGTCCTGTGAGATTCTTTCTTCAATTTCTTCATTTGTACACATGCATATCATCATAAGAACACATAAGAATATCCACCCTGCTACCCTCATAAGAGTACTGTAAGCATTTTTTGTTTAGAGTAAACTATTTGTGTTTCAAGATAAAATTGCTAACAGTATCTTTTTTAAAAAATCACAGGCAACATTCCACATTCCTTTGCAGCACCAAAGCAAGCAAAGGGTGTCATACGGCTTGTGGGAGCTGAGGTACATAGGACTTGTCACTACATGCTGCTCCACTGCTTCACAAAGCCCTGGGCTCTGAAAAGTCTTTGTTAGAAACAGAGATATTGTTAGGTGGCTGTGGTTGTGTTTCAGAAGATGTGCTTCATGATACCCACTACTAAATAAACTTGCGGAGAATCAACACCTGAGAATCTTGGGGAGCTCGATAACTGGAATGAAGGTGCACACAGTTCAGACGGGATGCGGTTGTATTGGAAAGCACATCCTCACCACCAGGGCCACACTGTGACTTTTGTAGGTGCTAGGCACTTGTGTGTTTATGGGCCCCTTTTGCCATAAAAAAAGTATATTAAAATCATATTTTATGGCTATATTGATAGAAAGATGAATATAATCTAAGCAGGATTCATTATCTGTTTATTATGCTTTGTGTTCCTTTTAGAAGAAATTAAAATATTGTTATTAGCCCTAAAAATATCGTGGTCTGTAGACACTGGGCCTGCTGCATCAAATGGATGAGTTGGTTCTGCTAACTGATGCAGATGTTTGTCATCAGACCCCACCACCTTTCCAGCCACATCCTCCCCACTCTGCCCCTCATTCACTCTGTCCCAGCCCCCCGGTCCTCCTTCTAGCCTTCCACTATCCCCAGCACATTCCCATTCGAGTCTGAGCCCTGGGGTACTCTTGGCCTGGGATACTCTTTCTCAAATCTCTGCAAGTCTTAGCAAAAAAAGTCACTGCCTCAGAGAGGCCTTCGCTGATCACTCTCGCCAACCCATTACCCTGTTGTAGTTTCTTTGTGGTACTTACGACAATCTGAAAACTTTCATTTTTTTAATTTACTGTTGGACTCTCATATAAATATGATAGAAGGGATATAAGTTATATCAGGGCAGGGACTTGATATATGTTATTCATTGTCATATGCCCAGTGCCTGTTCTATGCTTGGCTTTTGATAAACATTTACGGCACAAGTGAGTGAGTAGATAGGTTGCGGAGATTTTTCGGCTCACCCAAAGAATGTGGAAACACAACAGAGTGCCTGCCATTTTGTTCATTTGTCTTATAAACAGCAGGTCTCTAGCAGACTGGAAGAGGCATCTTGACCAGTAAGTGCCCAGTGCTGAAGGGAGAAGAGGGAGAAGGCAAGCACTTCTGCACGTATAACCAGACCAGACTCTGGGGAGAACACAGGCGATTATCATAGCTGAACCCTCTGAGTTCCTTTAAGAAAGTTCGTTTCAGCCCTGGCTGGCATAGCTCAGTGTATTGAGCACGGGCTGCAAACCAAAGTGTTGCAGGTTCCATTCCCAGTCAGGGTACATGCCTGGGTTGCAGGCCATGACCTCCAGCAACCACACATTGATGTTTCTTTCTCTTTCTCCCTCCCTTCCCTCTCTAAAAATAAATAAATAAAATCTAAGAAAGTTCGTTTCATAAAGCCCCCTTAAGAAAATTCATACAAGTTCTGTCCAGAAAGTATCCATCCATGTGCTATGAAAAATAGAGACATTTATTGAAGAGAATAAAAGATACAAGAAACATTCTACACAGGACAATGATGCCTCATTCCCCTTCAAAGTAGTCACCTTGGGACCTCACACATTTCTTCCAAATCACCATCAGCTGCCCTGTCATATTTTCCTGACTCTCATCGATGATCTGATACTTCTTCCCTTTCAAAGGTGATTTTGGTTGTGGAAAAGCCAGAAGTCACAGGGTGCCAAATCTGGGCTGTAGAGACGCTGAGTCCCCTGGGCAATTTGATGTTTCGCCAAAAATCTCTGCACAAGACATGATGTATGAGCTGACATATTGTCTTGATAAAGCTGCCAATCACCAGTTGCCCATAGCTGTGGCCTTCTGAATCATCAGAATATTTTCTGTGGAGGAAAGTTCAAGCTTAATGCAAAATTTGATGCAGATTCACTGCTCTACTCACTCAGTCATTTTGAATGCCATGGCCACATGCTACACATGCCAACTCAGCAGCATCTACCACCCCCACTGGCTAGTACAGTGAAGTCATTATTCACACATGTGTGTTCCAATCCACTCTCCTTGGTTGCCAGGTTACATCAATTTCTCACAAATCATTCTCATTATATTAACAATGGTTGGATTTTTTTCTTGGACAGACCTCACACAATTGACCCTTAACAATGTGGGGGTCAGGGACACCAATTCCCTGCACAACTAAAAATTCATATGTAAATTTGGTTCCCCCCAAAACTTAAGTTCTCTCTCAGTATCTATCAGGGATTGATTTCCAGACACACACACCCCTGCACCACAGATACCCAAATCCGTGAATGCTAAGTCCCCTATGCAAAATGGTGTAAAGCAGTGCATACAGTCAGCCCTCCACATCCACAGACTACCAACGGGGGACTGAAAACAGTACACATATTCATTGGAAAAAAACTCATGTATAAGTGGGCCCACGAAGTTCAAACCCATGTCATTCAAGGGTCAACTGTACTGTTTTTTTCCCCATACATACATACCAATAATAAAATTTAATTTATCAATTAGGAACAGTAAGAGATCAATAATTATTGATAAAATAGAACAACTATAACAATATGTTGTAATAAAAGTTACATGAATGTGATCTCTCTCTGTGTCCCTCAAAATATCTTATTATACTGTACTCGCCTTTCCATTTAAAGGGAAAACTTTAGGCCTCCTCTTTGGCATACCTGAATTTGCCAGCAGCACTATTTTTGCACTTGGAGGCATTATTAAGCAAAACAAGGGTAACTTGAGGACAAGCCCAACGATACCTTGACAGGTGATCTGATAACCAAGGTGGTGACTCCATGACTATCAAGTGAGGAGTGTCTACGGCATGGATCTGCCAGACAAAAGGGTGATTCATGTCCTGGGCGAGATGGAGAAGGATAGCATGCGATTTCATCACATCACTCAGAACAGTACACGATTTAAAATGTATAAATTGTTTATTTCCAGAATTTCTCCACTTAAAATTTAAACTACAGGTAACCAGTGGAGGAAGGTGAAAGCTCTGATGGGGGGGGGGGGCTACCATGGTTTCTACACTCAAAGGATACAATGAAAAGGAAACCAAATCAAAGTTTGAAGACTAGAAAATACCTTGAATGGACATATATCTGCTCCTTGCCTTCAGGCAGGACACGGGACAGTGTTTAGACTCAGAGAGGAGTGGTTTTAGGGACTGTGGGAGACCACTGTTGTTGGCCAGCAAGCTTCTTTTGATAATATCACATGTGTTATCTACTGAACAATAATCTCTTCCTTATTATATGTGTAAATTTGTTGAAATCCTCAAAGTCCCCAGCCCTGTTCTCTCTGAAAAGAACAGTCATGTGACCCAACAGAACCAATCAGACTTTCTCCAAAGAGAATTGAATTTTAGCAATGAAACAAGATGGGAATGGGGGAGTGGCAATGAGACATTTATTTCTGTCAGTAGTCACACATTCATAAAACTATTGATTAGTTGCTACTTCTGATAACCCCAGAAATGCCATTGTATCCTTCTCCTCAGAGCCTGGTTCTCCAAAATTGCTCAATTTTGTGAATGTCTTGTTTACTTCTTTTCTGTTTAAGGAAGAAGCCAGAGTCATTCCTGTGAAAGCCCTGACTAAGGCAGTGGGAGAGGTGCTGGACCAGTCAGCTGACTGGTTCTCTAGATGCAAGTAAACCCGATGACCACTTCTGTGTGCCTCAGCTTCCTAAGACCTCAAAGAGAGGTCATTCCTAGTCAGTAAACATCTCAAGGTTACTGGGAGATTAACATGAACTAGTAAATTAACTAGCCTATGTGTCAGGTAGGTCTCCCACAAAGCAGATTCTGAGACGGAGTTAAGAAACCAAGTGGTT